TTATTTCGATCAAATCGTCGGAACTTAAACTTTGAGTGAACATGCGTAATGAGCTTAACCAATCAATTGACGTCCATATATAAACGTTATTAGGCTGGTAAAAATCAACCAACGCGTCATTAATCAATTGCATAACATATACCAAGAAATTTAGATTAGGAACATTATTCATGTCGTTATCATCATATATCGCCTTTTGTGTAATCATATAATAATTTAACATTAGCTTTTCATTTACCGACTGTGTTACACATTGTGAATCGTACATCCACGTTCCAGTACTGCCTTTATGAGTTATACACCGTTCAATTATAAATTCTCTCCAATCACTGCATATTGTTAAATACAAACTAAATACGTTTAAATCGATGATATGAAAACTGTACAAATAATACAGAATTAAAGGAATCATTTTACATATTTTAAGAAACATTCCCTTCACCAATATAGTATCAATCGTCTGCTTCGTGATAGTGAGATTTTCATTATCTTTGTATGAATGTTGTTCAACTTTTTTTATAACATCGTTTCGAAAACTATATTTTAGCACCCGAAGAATGTTAAGTAATAAATCATTTAATGCCAAGTTGAGATTAATTATGAAATTTTTATCCGATTCTGGTACTTCATAATTATTATTAGCGGTTAACAAATCTTTACCTTGGTAAAAAATGATATTTTTTAAATAACAAACGACTGTGTGAACTTCTTTTCTGTTCTCATCGTTAATCAAAGTGTCACTTCGGAAATAACGAGTTTTTAACTTTTCTGGTGGTGAATAATAAATGAAAATTGATTTTCTATACCAATCACTACTTGATATCATATTTGTTTTATCAATTTTATTAATTATTTTAAATATGTTTTTTATAAATGTTTCGTCCTCTTTTTCGGTATCGGAATTGGTTTTTAAGGAAATTAATTTAATTTTTGATAGACGATTGTATAACGAAATTATACGTTCAAGGAAAATGTTCGTATCATCTGTATTTGTATCATTATATTTTGAAACATATACATTTCGTAAGCGACAAATGTCCGAATATAATGAAAATATTTTTCCAAAGTTTTTAAATGTAGATGCACAAATGTAAATGAAATCAAGACATCGAGGAATATGTTTACATATTGTTCGTACATAAGTTGTTTGAAATAGTGTGAAAATTTGTTTTTCATGCTTTCTGTTTACTAATACATATTCTCTCGTAGGAAGTTGAGTATTCCAATGATTAAACATTCG